TGGATACCCGCCTGGCACTTAGTGAAGGGGTTTTATTCCCTCCCTAACTTCAGGGGAAAATCCCTACTTGGGGAAACAACCTTTCTCGGAGAGGTGACCTTGGTTAAAACACAGCGCCAAGAAGGTGAGCAAACATATTAAGAACAGTATGCCATATATGCCAGGTCCCTTGAAACAGCAAGGATGGACTGGCTCCCGGCAAACAGTGATCTTTTCAAGGGCAATTCTCCGTGAATTACATGTTTTTTAATATCCTGCATCCAACACAATGTCAGATACAGACTATGTTTATGGGTCTGAAACCTGAAATCCCAAGTCGGGTTAGTGGCAGTGGAAATGAATAGAAGAGGTGGTTTTGGAGATGGATGGTAACATGTTGGATTTATACGAACTTTCCCCACAGATTTCAATATTTGAAGTGTAAAGGAATCCAGAGAGTAGTAAGTGACAATTAATCCAGTCTTTCTGCATCTAACTAGAATAATTCTATATGTGTACACAAAAAATAAAAGACACCTACATCTCAGGAGTTATTAGAATAGTGTACAAACTGTGGCATGTCTCAGGAGCTGGTCCTGTTGGAGTTCTCTAGGAAATGACTCCAAAATTAATGAGATGCTGAGCTATTTTGAATTATAAGAGAAAAACTGACAATGACTACTATCTTCATTTACTTCTTTTTTAAAAAATTAAATCTTTATTGTTCAGATTATTACAATTGCTCCTCTTTTTCCCCCCCATAGCTCCCCTCCACCTAGTTCCCACCCCACCCTCTGCCCTTACCCGCCCCCACTGTCCTCATCCAATTTTTGTCCAGTCTCTTCCCGCATCTCCCACACCCCTTTCCACCCAAGAATAGTGAGTCCATTCCCTTTCTATGTCCCTGATTCTATTATAATCACCAGTTCATTCTGTTCATCACATTATTTATTCACTTGATTCTTAGATTCACTTGTTGATAGATGCATATTTGTTGTTCATCATTTGTATCTTTACCTTTTTCTTCTTCTTCCTCTTCTTAAAGGATACCTTTCAGCATTTCATATAATACTGGTTTGGTGGTGATGAACTCCTTTAGCTTTTCCTTATCTGTGAAGCTCTT